GTATTTCATCGTCGATGTTCTTATCCTTCATCTCATAGTAACGAATCACTCTCCTGCCTTTAAATGTAAACACACAGAATTATATTTACTTCAACCCTCGATCTTACCAGCAGCTCATTCACTTCCGGAACTTCGAACAGGGCAGAGAAGCAGGAAAGGTCTCTGAAATGACAACGATTAACTCGTAACTCTTCTGAGGTCTCTGAAATGACAACGATTAACTCGTAAACGATAAAACTGAGACATACGACCAACTTCCCAGTCCCCTCAGCAGTGCGAGAAGCTATGAACCCAGTCATCGTTGGAGTCATCCTGGATCACGCAGTAGTAGATGGCTGTTCTGCTAGTCTGTACATCTGAAAACAAAAAACTGAGTTCTAACCAGACGTAACAACCTGCTAATCAATGCCTTGGTAGCATAGGCTCAGATGGGAGGCTCGAAACGAGGTAACAGTGAATGATCGGAATGTTCTATGTATAGCGTGTTCAAGGAGCCAGGCAGCTCGTTGATATTCTCACTGCAGAACGTAACAACGATCACAAACAAAACGAAACCTGAAATATATTTTTAGAATCACCTGGAAAGAAAACAAAAAAACCTTTGAACTGTCAAGTTGCAACAGAAACAAGTGGATAGGTCAACTCGCTTCTTACAGAATCTGAAAAGACCAGAATGAGCCTCTCCTTTCTCACCTACAAACATAGAACGTTGTCGTGCGATGAACAACAGCCGCTCATAAGCTTTGATGCCCGGAACCGCCAACTCAACAATGGAAGAAAGCTAATGATTCTGCGTGGAACTACTCAACTCTTATCATTTTCCTAGAACTGATTCCTAAAACGACATAGTGATGATCACATAAGAACTAACCTCAAGGAAACAGTTGAGTAAGAAGGTTTCATCTAAGGAGTAGGGGTTCAGAGNAGAACAGATAATGATGGTTCCAACCATGTTAACACGAGAAAGAAATCGAACAAGAACAGAATGTTTATTCCCAATGCATCACAACCTTTCAACTGCCTCAGACGAGGACTCGGAACATCCAACCGAGAGGAAGCTGTCTTCCACTCGTGAATAAACGTTTTTGGAATATTTTAATATAAAATAATAACAGATAAAAGACGAATTAAATGCAGAAAAGCTCAAATTAAATTGAAAAAATTGAAAATTTTTCAGAAATTTTGAAATTTGAGAAATTGGTCCCGACGCGATTTGGATTTTTAATTTTTT